AAGTCATTTCTGAAGAGAAGAATCATCATGCTGATGATGATCAAAAAGCATCACTGACCATTCAGAATGAAAGATCGGGAGAGAGCTATTCCACTTTGAAGACCTTTCTATCGAAATTGAGGTCCTCTGTTCTCATCGATTATTCCGAAGAAAAAAAATAGAGTGTCCTTCAGGAATCAATTCTTTCAGCATGCAAAGGAAGTGTATAAAAAATTGAATTTACAAGACGAAGAGATTATTCCAAGATTGGAGAAATTAGATAGTACGTTTCGGATCATATTTTTACTGAAGGAAGGAATTGATTTTAATATATTGAAAAATTAATTTTAATTTTTAATATTTAAATCTGAAAGATGAAGGAAATTGGAGTTCAAACGCAGCATATACCATTAAAGCTGACATGTTTGGCTCTATTGAGTACAATATCAAAAAACAACTGGAAGCAAGCAAAGCACTGCGAGAGCCAAAACCAATTGAGTAAGTAGTCATGTTGACAAATGATATTATTTATGAAGTGATGTGTGTCTGTTTAAACAAATATGATTTTCTGCTCAATGAAGCGAATTACTATTTAACGTAGCAACCACAGTATCAAGAGATTTTTCGTTGAGCTCAATATGCTCGAAATATTTTCGAGATATTAATTTGTCTTCCTGTAAAATTACTGAGATCGATTCCGAGTTTGTAAATTATTGCAAGTTTCTAGAAATACTAAGTCTGTCATTCAATAAGATTGACTCAATCAAATTCCTTCCGCAGCAATTGTATGGCCTCAATGCATATTCGAACTCCATTTCAAAAGTTGTTCCCTTAAAAACGTTTCCAAACATTGTTCATCTCGGTCTGGGCTACAATAGATTAAATAATTTAGAGTTTATTGAGGAATGTCCATACTTGGCTTCTCTGGATGTTAGTTTTAACGATTTAACAAGTTTGGAAAAATCAATTCAATCGCTGACCAAAGTTCCGAATTTGAAAACTCTAAATTTGCAAGGAAACTGCTTTTGCATGCTCGAGCATTATAGAGGAGCGGTGTTCTCATCTTTACCAAAGATTGAAACACTAGATAACGAAAATTTTACAGAGGAGACCAGGAAAAGATATATTGACTTATTTCACGGTTTCTCAAACGAAAAGAGTAAGTGGGAGTCATTTGATTTTTATCTAATTAACATGTCATGACAATATTCGGTAGAAACAAAACTTGTTGTGACATTAGCATCATTGAGTGGAGTTAATTTTGATGAAGAAATCAAATTAATTGAAGATGAAAATGCCTCTGCCAACGATAAGAATGGAAAGAAAACGCCCATCAAAAGAATACCGTCCGCGAGTAAAAAGAAAGCTCCAAACGCCAAGAAACCCAGTGAAATTACATTTTTCAAGAGTATTTATTACATTGTAAGGTTTTCTTGGCCCAAAGAGGACGAAAAAGATGAAACCGCCTTTATTGAAAGTAGTCCTGTCTATTTACCTGATCCTGATCCAAAAACAAACTCGAGGATTGTGTCCATTGATTTTAAGGATACCTTTGAATTTCATATTTCTGAAAAATCTCTTGGAGTGAAGCATCATATTGAGAGTAAGTATTTTTTAGGGACTGTTCATTCTAAGAGCAATTTATCTGTTACTTGTTAATAACATAAAGAACCCATAAGCTTTTACGTATATCGAATTGTTGCCAATATTCAAGATGACGATGATTCCAACAAGATTGAGTTATCGAGAGATTTGCTTGGAATTTTATTTGCAAATTTCAACATCTTATGGGAAAGAGGGTTTACACTACCTGTTCCAATACCTGAAGATGATGACTCTGCCAAGTCAGGAGACGAGCTCAAAGCACTCATGAAAAACTCATTAGAAGAACGTCATAACCTTCAAAACGATATCAGTACATCATCTTTGTCAAACCTAACGATGGGAGTCTCAATCACACAACCTAATGAGATTTGGGAGAGTTATGAAAAAGACTGGAAAGATCCAAAGAAGAGAAAACAAGCTGCTAAAACTGCCAACAACAAGAAACCACCCTCGAGAAAGTAACACGATTATGATATGTTTCAATACCTTTAATCAATTAGAGCTACATTCTTATTCGGAACTTTTCAGAAACAAAGATTATAATGGACATTAAACACTCCGTCGTTCATACGTCCACGTCAGCACCGAAACACTTTGAATTTCTGTGTTTTTCATGAGCTCTTTAGTTTTTGGAATCAAATTCATCAACATTTCAGATTAAAATCATCATTTTTAAAAAATGTCACAAACCAAGTCACTTGTCAATCGAGTTCTACCGATCCTCATGTTCCTCCTCTTCTTCATCATCATTCATTCCACCAACGTCATTACATGCGCTGCCATTGATGATGAGGTCATTGTCAAAGCGCCCATAGGAACCTATCAAGGATTTATTTCACAATTTCCAGAATACAAAGCCACAGCAAGAGCATTCACAGGCATTCGTTATGCAAAAGCTCCAGTGAACTCTCTCCGATGGAAACCCACACAACCATTGGATGCTTTTTCAGGAATTTACAATGCAACGATCGAAACACCTGGATGTCCACAACGATGTGAATTACCACCTCACACATGTCCCAAGACACAGAGTGAAGATTGTTTGTTTTTGGATTTATATACGCCACGATTAGGAGCCATGAAAAAGAATGAATTGTTACCTGTGTATGTGTTTTCCCTGGTGGTCATTTTGAGGTGAGTGGTTGGTGAATGGTTTGTTTTTGGAAATTAAGATTTTGTTTTTCTTGAATTGGATAAATTTGTTAATTTCTAAATTTGGAAAATCGAACTGCATACGTAACACTCAACGCAGCAAGGAAGTAAGTAATCGATCCTATCAAACATTATATTCAGGTGAAATTCTTATTGAAATTTCATCATCTTCTCAAATTGATCATGCAGCTCCAAACTCCATTCTCTACGATGGTACCTTCATTGCCAACAAGACTTCCATCATCATGATCATTGCTGGTTATCGATTAGGAGCATTAGGTTGGCTCGCTAATTCAAAAGCTCAAATGTCTGGAAATTATGGATTTATGGATCAATTAACAGTTCTAAAATGGGTGCAAAACAATATTGCTGCTTTTGGTGGAGATCCAAAAAGAGTGACCATTGGCGGTCAATCTGCTGGAGCTACATCAACGACTGCTCATTTAATTAGTCCAGCAAGTAAGGGACTTTTCCATCAAGTGATTGTAGAAAGTAATCCATTAGTGTTGCCCATGAGATTGATGGACGATGTGACGATTAATTTGGCAACTCCTTTTGCCAAACAAGCGAATTGTGATGTGAGTGATTTTGAATGTTTTCAAAAATTGTCGATTGATTCGATTTTGGAAGCTCAATATTTTTTGGACACTTATAAGAACTTGTCAATTCCTTTGGAGACATTTTTACCTTGGGCTCCTACTGTAGCAAGTTTTGACAAGTTGATTCCTTATCAAACCTTTGAGGGTAAGTGAATTTAATATTATTTAGGAATAATTGTAAAGTTTGTTTTTGAAAAATTTACCATATATAATTTGAACCATGTGTTATTTGTGAATGTCACATGTGAATCTCAATGTCACTCCTGAATTTATTCTTGAACACAAATCATGGTACTACATAACAGCTGTACAAAAAGGATATTATCACAAAGTTCCAATGATTTTTGGAAATGTGGCAGAAGAAGCTCTCATTTTCATTTATATGGGAAGTAAAAAAAAGATGACTACATTGGAATATATGGCATTGTTATATGCTGTTTTTGGTATTGAAGATGGAGCAAGAGTGTTGAATTGGTATCGTCCTCTTCTCGATGGTGATAAACGCCCAGAATTGAGTATTATGGGAACTGATTATATATTCCTGTGTTCATTAAGAAATGTTCTCTCACAAATTACCACTCAAAATCCTGAATTACCAGTTTATAATTATATTTTTAATCATGTGTTGACTTTTGATGCTTGGGGACCAAAGTAAGTTGAAACGAATCATAGATTGTTCATTATTTAAAATATTGAAATCTATTTTGAAAACAACAAATGATTACCTTAATGAAACAAATAAGGTACACTTATTGTGTGGGACATGTTTGCCATGGAGCTGAATTGCCATTTGTTTTCCATTCGCTAGGTGTTCACACATTGCCTGACATGCACTTCAGTCCGGAAGAAGATATTCTCTCCATTTCCATGGTTAATTACTTTACCAATTTTGTGAAATATGGAAATCCAAACGGTAATTCAACTGCTGTGACATGGCCTCGATTTAGTGCCAACAATCGCCAAACTATGATGTTCCAAACACCATTCAATCAAATGGTCAAAGACTACAAGAAGGATTATTGTGATGAATGGGATTACATTGGTTACGATCATGGTTGGTTGAATCAACTCAAAAAAAAGAATTAAGCATCCAAAATGGTGCGAGAATTGTTTTAATGAACAATTTCTTCGTCTTTTCTTAATTCGTTCACTTCCAACTCACCATTATCAACTTTTAATGAATCATTTCGACAATCAACTCCATCATTTTCTTCACACAAAGCAGGCAAGTGATGCTTTTGATGAAGTAAATAACACTTCATTTCTCCTTTACCTTTAACATAAACTGCTTCTCTTTCTACAAATTGATAACTTTCCCATACTCTTTCATAGGATGTCCTCGAAAGTTGAATTCTTCCTGGAACACCAGTACTTTCCATTCTTGAAGCTGTGTTGATGGTATCTCCCCACTAGTTCATGTGAAGAATAACATTTGAATGAGTCAACAACAACATGAAAGATCACACTTACCAAATCGTAGGCAAATTTCTTGTGACCGATCACTCCTCCAACACACTCTCCTGTGTGAATGCCAATTCTTAGATTAATCTTTTTACCTTTGTCCTTATTAAAATTATGAAGAAAACCAAAAATGTCAATGGCAAACTTGACCATTCTTTCAGTGTGATCACTGGCTCTTGAAGCATGAGCACCAGCAACACAAAAATAAGCATCTCCAATGGTTTTAATCTTGTCAATATAATACTTTTCAGTGAGATGATCAAAATTGTGAACAATGTCATTGAGAAGAACAATCAATTCATTGGGTGACATGATACTACTCATGACAGTAAATCCAACCCTGTGGATGAATGAATATTTCAATGGTAATTTAAAGTTGTTAAATAATTCAATGACCAAATAAAATGTTTCTAATTAGGTTTCACCTTCCATATATATAAAGCTTACATGTCAGAAAAGAATACTGTCACATCATTAAATTTTTCACAAATGGAGGTTTCTCCTTGTTTGAGACGAATTGCCACAGGTAATGGAAGAATATTTAACAATAATTCTTCACTCTTTTTCTTCTCATCTGCAATCAGAGTGGTTTGTTTCTTTTCATTGGTGATATCTTTCACAAAACAAGCAATCTTTGTCTTTCGATTATAAAAACTCATTGATAAAGAAACGATTGCAGAGAATGTCTTTCGATTCTTTCTCGAACAAGTAATTTCAAAAAGTTCAGAAAATGCATTTTTGGCAGCTGACATTTCTGAAATAATTTTCTGTAATCGTTGTGGTGAATTTTCTGGATGGCTCAATAAATAGATTTGGAATTTTGTGATTCAACACAAACTGTTTCAACTGATCGTTTTGGTCAATAATTTCCCAATGAAGGTAATTTAACATTCTCCTCAGATGATGTTCTTCATTCCAATACGCAGAAAGAGAGGAATAACTCCAAATCATACACACAGTACCAACGATCAAAAAAGACACAAAAATGCACATACTCATGATCAGTTGTGGATGTTGTTCGCTTTTCACATAGGTAGAAATAAATTTAAAAAGTTTCTCAGAGAGTGAAACAGCCAAAAAGTAAATGTCATTAAAATATAAACGAAGAAACGAAGAGCTGTCTGTTGATCATAAAATCCATTGTAAAAGTAATGATTATATTCTGTGGAGGTATCAATGAATGAGGTCACTAATTTGTCCATTCCCAAACAATCATACTTGATGTGAGTAAGAGTGAGAGTGTCATTGAGTGAAATGTTGTTGTTGTTGACTGAATCATTCAGAGTAGTCGTGGTATTGGTGGTAGTAGTGTTCAACAATTTTTGACAAATGGTCAAAGAATTTCCCACCAACAGCGAATCAATTTCTGAACTCAGACCTTTCACCGGTGATTTGTAATTCGTTTCATTTCCTCCTACTACAATTTCTTTCCAACACAATATGCAATTTATAAGTTCCTCGGCATTGTCGTCTCGAACCACATTCCATGGGAGGAGCATGAGATTACTTTTTCGAACCATTTCCAATAATCGAAAAGTGACTCTCATGGAAGTTCTCATGACTGTATTGAGCAAATTAACAGTATTCATGGTGGATGATGTTTTGATGTCATTGGAATAGAATTCCATGAGAAGGCAAATGCTTGATGCAAAGACGAATAACATGGTCATGATGGTGAGAAGTGTGAAAACAATGGAAGGTGTAACACGAGAAGAATTTTCTCTGAAAGGATCAGTCATTTCTTTTTCCAATTGGTGATAGAATTTTCCTGTTTCATCTTTGGGAAGAGTGGTGAATTTTACAAGTTGGTTAAATTGTAACAAGTGATTGCGCATTATGACAATGAAAAATAAACAAAATATAAAATAGAGACCTAATAGTGAGCCACACACTCCAAATAAGATTTCCCCAATACGATTAATGTCACTCTTAGAACTTGCTATATAAGAAGTACAAAAGAAATCAAATGCTGTTGTCATTTCTCTTCTATTAAGGTAACTGTTGTGTCCAAGCAAAAGATTAGAATTAAGTATATCATTAACATTTGATAGTTTAAGAAATAGGTATTTCATACATCCCCAATAATTATTTCAAATACTACTTACAAGAAAAGAAGTGGATAATTGGCTCTCGTTTTGTTAAATGTCACAAAATCTTCATTGCTCATGACATGAGCAATGTCATCTCCCTGATTGAGAATATGATCCACAAAGGCACTGATAGACGTGGTCGCATTCTCATAGAGTGGGAGTACTGTCTCATCTTGTTGTTTGATAGGAATCAAAGTTGATCTCAATAAGGAAGTATCGTTTCGATATTTCAGCATGAGAGATTTGTACAGAGTGTCACATTCTTGAACAAGAATGGTGGAAGATCGGTTCAAATTTTCAATTTTTTTCTTGGAACAATTCTCTGAAATCAATTCCTTAAATAATTCTTTGTGAAAATAAGTCATGGCCTGTTGCTTCTTTTGTAGAGATTGAAGGGTTTGTTTCAAATCGACATTGATCATTGAAAATTTTTCCACATTTGCCTCAATTTCCTTACTTCTCAATACAATAAAATAGGATTGCACAAGAGATGGATTATTCTTTTTTGCGTGGAAAAGCATGGAGAGAGCCAATGAATGAGACGAGTACAATTCTTCTTGTGTTGAGTAAAAACTTGTTATAATAGCACTAATGAGAAGAAAATCCACATTTGTGATCGATTTGGAGGTGCCACATAATTTCAGAAATTGTAAAGCCCATTCCAGAGCATTGTCTTGCTTGGATGAAAAAGCATCACTGATGGAAAGTCTTAAAAAGAGAATGAGCTTTCTCATGGATTTGTTTTCTTGAAAGGTGTTGTAAATTTGAATGGCAGAGTGTTTGTCTGTGAGATGATGAGTCATAAATCTTTTGACCGCATTTAACACTCCAAATCTCAAATACAATTCACAACTCAAAGTTCCCAAAACAAATCCCAAAGCTTGCAGAGCGATTGTGACTCCTGTGATGATTCCTCCCAACTGAGAAATGTATTCTTGTTGTTGCTCTTGTTGCTGAATGATATTTCTCATCAAAGCAGAGGCCATGATCGGTCCAAGGCATCCCAACGTTTTACCACACAAACATCCAAACACCAACGAATTGATAAAAGTCTTGTAATAAGGTAAACCATACAGAAAGTACACGGCAACCAAGAAACTCAAGAAACACTTCACAGCACTTGCTGAAATCGCCTGATTCACATGTAATAGAACATTTAACACCACACATGTTTGATTCAAAAGATGAATACACACTCCAACATTGGGGGAAAACATTCCAAAGAGTGAGAGAGAAGTGCGTGTGGGAGGAACTGTCTCCTCCATCACTAAAACTCCCAAACTCACCAAGATCATGTTAAGAATTACACCCACACATCCAATCACAATGAATGCAGTATTGAGAGTAGAATTCATAGTGATGGAGGGAAAGTATTCATTCGAAATGGTATGAGAGGATGAAGAGGAGGAACTTGATGACATGGGCACACAATGAATCCACACCATCCAATTGGTAAACACGAGCATGAATAGAGAGAGTGGTTGAATAAGGATTCTTTTGATCTTGTCACAATACTTGTTTCCCCTACTGTGTAACAGATAGAAAACAGCATACATGAAGAGAGTGAATAATTCCAACGCTAGAAATACTGATGACAAGACAATAATGGTCATATACGAATAATGTTCCGCACCCAACGTAATGGGATAGAACATGACTCGATGAATCCATGAAGGAATGATTCCCCAGAGTGGTGGTTGAGCTAATGTTGCATTCTCCTCTTCATTCAGAGTGGATGGAATTGATGACAGAACCATACTCACATACAATACAAAGGCATTTCGAAACATGGACAAGAGAGTCGTTTGCCATGAAGTGACACTCGCTTGCTTTGAATTGACAGCAACAAGAAAGGAAAATATCTTGTCTTTCATTTGCTTTGAAATCTTCCACCACTGGATCCAATCGAATCAGATGATGCATTGCTTGTTCCAGTGAGTGCCAAACTTTCATTGGCGACCGATTTGGGAATGGCCAAGTGTGGTTGTAGCTGTGCGTTGGTGGGTGTTCCTGAGAGAGTGTCCGTGTCTACAAGATCTTCATTAGAGGGTGGTTTGAGTTGTGAGGTCATAGTATTGAGATTGTCGTGATGTTTTTTTGATGTTGTTCGGTCATGATGATGATGTCTTTTGCAGTTAATACCTTCATGGATGTGCGAAATGGACAAACCAAGAATTTGGCACGCGTGAACCAATGACAAGTATGAGCTCCATTTTCGTACAAAACGACACCATGGGTTATCCATCTCTCATCACCAATTTGTTTAAGGCTCGAAATAATGGATATACTCCATCTTGAGATTTGTAAAAGGAGGGAGATGTTAAAGACGAAATAATGCGTACACTTGAGGAGAGTCGCAACACGTTACAAAATGGTCATCGTTCTTGATTATAGCAATAATAATGCAATGATGGGCATTGATAAGCAGAAAGGAGAGATCATTACAATAATACAAGATTGTTCACTCTCTCTTGTCAATAAATAAGTGTGATGCATTGCTTTTTATTTAAACAATTGGAACAGCAAAGGCACATTGAGTTTCAATGGCCAAGTTGTAGAATCTGGATGTTCCTCTTACAATACGGAAGAACCCACCTGTTGTAGTTTTTGTTATTGTAAATCATGATTCCAACACCGGCATTGAAAGGTAGTGAAATTTCGCCATTTAGGTAAACATTTACAAAAAAATAAAAATACGAAAAAAAGGTAAAATCCAAATAACAACAATCATAATGATTTGCATACCTTCACCCCATTCTGTCAACGTTGAAAGGTAGTGACCATCATTGTGCATTTTGAAAACATTTACAGTTTGGATAATTTGAAAGGTTAAAACATTATTAAAAATGATAACATAAAGAATAACGAATTGCATACCTGTTCCCCATGAGTTTCTAACAATCCAGTATTTCTTTCCGCCTTCCTCACCCCATCCTACAACAGAAATGATGTGATTAATCATTGGGAATACTTTGAACTCTTCAAAGATACCACCCTTATAGGCTTCCAAGGCGCTAGTAGCATCGATACCGCATGAGATTGGACCTCTAGCATAGATTTCACTCATCATTTCATGTTCTCCGTCAATGCTACCATATTCGCTCACTCTCCATCTGTTGTAATTTCTGATTGCGAAACATCCGGTTGAATTGCAAGTACCACATTCGGCGAATGCAGAACAATCCTGATCAACAGCCTTGTAGTTATTGCATGACTCGTCAGGAATGCCGTGATCGTGAGCATATTGATAAACGGCTGTTTAAAAGTTCAATATGTCCATGACAATGACCAGAGAAGGAAGAACAAGCATCAATGTGAAAAAATCAACCTTGAAAAAGTAAAACTACATACGAATATCATCACCACCCTCTAATGATTTACCGGGTTCAAATAAGATTGATTATTATTGATAGCATGTTGATGTGACGTTCGCTTGTCAAAAATTAGTCGTTTACATACCACAAGATCTATTAAAATTATTAAGATTATATTTCAACAAATGAACCGTCAAGTATACACTTACCCAGCATCACCACAAGCAATAACGTGCTGTACTGACAACAAGGCACGAGGGAATTGATTCTTTCTGGCAATGTTGATTCTATCAGCAAGAGCACTTGTAGAGCCGTGAGCTGTGGTGGGACAGCAACAAGTAATATATTCGAGCGAGAAAGATTTTTTCACAATAAGTCCGCCATCACATCATCATGAAATAGTTCAGCAATCGCAACAATTATTGATATATCATTCACAACATTGAACATCATCAATTCAATATTCATGTCTAAAACAACTACCAAAACTTACCCCAACAGCTACCACAATAAATTGGAATATGTTGATTTCTTCCGACAGACAAATAATTCACTCCAGCAATATTTCTCCAATCCCAAGAAGCAGGAAGATCTTCTGGTTTCAAATAGGTGTGAGGTTGTGCAGTCTTGATGTTATTACGAATAGCACTTTCCTTTCTCACGTAGCAAGGGTGCTTTTGGTGGAAGGAGAGTTGTTGTTGTTCCTCTCCGTAAACAAGAAGAGAAGCCTCGACAAGAACAATCAGCAAGACAAGCCAGAGATTTTTCATTTTTTTAAAACTGATGATCTCAATAATGTTAGAACAGGGGAAGATATTCAGTTTGTTGAATGTTGGAAGAGAGTATTATGCAGACAAGTACTGATTCGATCCAACCTTTATTATGATAATGATGAAAATCAATAATTATCTTGATTTGGAGAACCGAGAATGTTTTGGTTGATAATTTCCATCCAAACAAAAAAAAATCATCGCCACCAAAATCGCCGACCGAAGTAGGCCATTCACTTTTGCACTCTCTCCGAACGAAACCTTTTTGCTGGCACTCTCTCGAGCTCGATAGTGAATTCAATTTTGCTCCTCTGTTTTTGCTCGTGAGCTCCCGGTTGAAAAGAGCACAACAACAGCACAAACTGAACCCTAAAAGAATGCTGCCCACCAATCAACAACAAAACCTGTCTTTGCTTTCATCATCATCACCAACAAACAACACAACAAACAATACTGCACATACGAACACTAATGGCAATACAAACAATAGCCTATGGAACAGCCTGCAAACGCTGATGAATCAAAGCGGAAATAACAGTAATAATCCCTTATTGCACCAGATGAATTATCTGATGGCAGCACAATCATCACTCCCTGGTACAGGAAATCAACAATTACTTAACAATTTATTACAAGGACAATCCATGATCAATAACAACACCAATTTCAACAACAACATCAACCAACAAGCTTTGAACCTTGTCGGTAGTATTTTGAATTTGGTAAATTCAGCATCCCCACAACAGCAGCAACAACAGGCTAGTAGCAACATCAATAACAACAACCAGTTGTATAGTAACAATGTCAATATGCCAACAACAACATCAGATCAAAACAATAACACATCATCATTATCAAACTCCTCTATTCTGTCTCCCCCACAACAACAACGACTACCGTTTACTGCATCCTCAAATGGTTCGGCCGATCAAACTCTCCGTCCATTCCAGAGCCCTCAAATGTTGAATCAGTCAGCATTTGTGTTGTCGCCTCCATCATCAGCCACTTACTTCCATCCTATTACTTCCGTTCATCAAAGTCCGAGTTCCGATTCTTCATCATGTCTTTCTTCTGCAACTTCAATCAAGCATCAGCAAGTAAACTCTTCATCCACAACTGCAGAATCAAATATCCAAACATTTATTAGCAAAGGAAACACAATGGGATCAAGTATAAAACAATTCTTCAACAACCCTACCTTGAGTGATGTTACCTTTATCATTCAAGGCAACAAATTCTTTGCGCACAAGTTAATTCTTTGTGCAAGAAGCAACTATTTCAATCAACTGATACTAACTAAATGTAATAATACTGCTGTTCTTGAAATTGAGATTCAAGATGCTTCTGCAGATATTTTCTACAGTATTTTAGAGTTTGTGTACACGGATTGTACAGTTTTGAGGTCAGACAAAATTTGGGAATTGTTTCAGGCAGCTAAATTTTATCAGCTCATTGCTCTATTGCAGCAATGTCAAGAATTTATTATAGGAACGCTTGTGGATGGAAACGTTTTTCAGCAATGGACCAAGGCTCAACAATTTGGAGCCATCATGGTTGCAGAACATTGCCTCCTGTTTGTGAAAACAAAATTTGAGAAAGCTCTCAAGCTTTTGGATTTGTACAATACTTTGGATATATCAACCAATCCAGAAATTATCCTTAAAGCTATTCAAAGTCAACAATTCAACAGACTTGGCAATCCTCCAACACCAACAAACAGAAGCAAGAACCCGACCAAAAATGATCCCATGTATCAATCTCTCACATCCTTCACTTTCCCTCCGTCAAAAAAGGAAGAGGAAGAAAAACATGACATACTGAAGAGTCACACAGAGCCTGTTCATGAACAGGATGAAAAACAAACCCAACATGAGCTCACACAAACATTTGAATTGTGGGGAGAAGGAATTATTCCTCCTGCTGCCTTTCCTACACGATATTCAATGGATCAATTTCCTTCATTCTTTAGAATTGACTCAAATGATACTACTCAGCAAGCAAGTACCGCTTCAGATTCAAATAGTGCTCCTGAAAACAATTCGTCTTCAGAAACAAAAACTGAGAAAGAAAAAGATTCAACCTTAGCAGAACGATCATGCGTGTACAGACGTTTATCAGTGCTGAGACAAGACTTACATTCTGTCGGAGTGTTTTTCCAACACATTATTTCATGTATTACACGATTATTACATGCTGAGAGAACTACGTTGTTTATGTATGATAAGAGGACAGATGAGCTCATTTCTCAAGTTGCTATTGGAGAGGAAGAAATTAGAATTCCAAGCAATAAGGGAATTGCGGGCTCCGTTTTTCAGAGCGGAAAAAGCATTAATGTTGCTGATGCCAAAACAGATTCAAAATTTGCTCCAGAGGTTGACAAGTCGACCGGATTCTCGACAAAGAGCGTCATTTGTGCTCCCATACTGGGCTCGCATAATCAATATGTCGGCGTGCTCGAGGTTTTAAATAAGCATACAGGAGCATTCACTGAGAAGGATGAACAAATTCTTCAATTTGTATGTGAACTACTTTCGATATTTGTTCAAGAACAGCACTTAGAGGAGATTGAAAATATTCACAAATGCACAATTCTATTACAACCTTCATCATACCGGAGAAAGTCAGTGGCTCCACTTCAATTTGGAAATAGAAAAGCCTCTCATAGAATGTCTGTATCTGTTGATGATTCCTTCGCTTTACTTTTTGGAGAGGGTGATTTCAATTTTGATTTAATCAATACGGAAGAACAGCCGACCTCATTACTACCAGTTAACAATGATGTTGCAAACAATTTAGTAGGACCCAATATTGAACCACTTTGGAACTATGTGCAAAATCATGACGTAAATTCAAATCTAACTTCCAGCTTTGTCACGGTTGATACAACTCCATCGAAAATAGCCTCAGAGCAGCCCAAGACACTAGCAAGCAGCAGTACTAGTTCTACTAACAATACTATTAGCAATGCCTCTAATTTGGATCAGCAATCTGTTATTTCACAACAAACTGTCACTAAGGCATCTAAGAGTACGAAAACTGAAAATGGAGAAAAGAAACGCAAGAGAAATCCAAATGTTAATACCCAACCATCCGCAAGTGCCCCTACGGGAATGCCATTCATGCATTTTAGAATTCCTCGTTATGAATCGCAATTTATTCAATTCGAGGCTGGTGGAGCAAAGAAAAAGAAGAAAAATTAAATTATACACTGCGTTTCAATCTCTAAAAATCGATGTAATTATCAAAGTGTTGCTCTCATCAAATTTGAACATTAAGAAGTACAATCACAAGTCCCGTAATTAGAGTAATCATGAATGGCGAATTACTTCTTGTCCCGCTTGCATTTCCTTGATTCTTTTTGATGACCGACGTCGTATCAAACTCAACCACATAGACAACACCAGCATAATCGTCTGAAATGAACAAACTTCCAACAGGTCCCTTATTGAGCTGTCTCACATCTACAGGACGACCCCAATATTTTGATGTTCCCTTCGTTAACCAACCTTCCAAAAAAACAGTATATCCATTGGGTGCCTTTTGTTCATCTTTCACATCTGAGATCATCATGACTCGATATCCGAAAGGAGGATCTCTGTTCCAGCTTCCATGTTCAGCAATGAACACCGATCGATTGACGTTGAGAAATTGTTTCCACAAAGATGCTTCAGAGTTTCTAAAGAAGATAGTTCCTAACGCTGCGACATGTGCATCCAAAACAACAATTGGTTTCACATAATTGCCATTGGAACAGCTCATTACGGATTCGTTGGGGTTCATGTCTGGGTCGACAATGCCATTGGCATGACAATAAGGGAATCCAAAACTTTTAATATTTGAATCACCTTCATTGTTCAATATCAATTTGTTGAATTCATCTCCAGGAATCAAATTACCCTATCATTTCAATTGAAAAGTGAAATTATTGGTATGTAACGACAAGAGATGAGACCATTTCGTTTTTCACACACAAAACTTACACTCCCACTTACCATATAATCTCTTCCATTATCTGTGAAATAGAGAATTGAATCATTGTTTGGATCAAAATCAAAGCCTACGCTATTTCTCACACCAGTAGCTTCCACTCTCTTTGGTGCTTGGCCTGAAAAATTATTGACATCTTTTGGCAACTCAAATGATGTGATGGTTCCAAACAAATCTGTTAAGATACATGTGTTACATGGTGCTCCAACAGGAACATACATCTTCTGCTTATGAATTCGAATATATTTAAATCCATGCCACGAGTTAGGGTCGTAGCTCTGAACTGGAATTTTTTGATACATGGATGCACTTCGTTGACCACTTTCATATTTAGAGATGACATTTAGAACCATATAAATGGTTGCAATTTCACCAACATATAACGTATCTGTTGAGGAATCATAAGCCACTCCATTCGGGCTATTACTCATTGCATTCACAATAATGTCTTGAGAGAGTAATTGTACATAGCCAGAGCTTGAGTTGAAATCACTCAACAATGTAGAATCATTCATCGTCCGATTGAATCGACTTGTATCGTGATAGAGTGACAAGATGTGAATGGCTCCAGTTCCTGGACTAGATACAAACAAATAGGAATGAGTGGAATTCTTTTCAAAGAGATCCAATTCTCGAGCATTGGGTACTCTTGCTAATACTCGGATGAGTGATCGATTTTGTGCAAGCTCCAACGGCACTGCTGGGCCAAACTGCAAAGTATTTAACGGAAGTGTGTCTTGTGCGAAAGACAAGTGGCAGAATAAATTCACACCGCACAACATCAAGATGAAAAGTAAACCAATGGCCGAAGAGGAGGAGGAAGAGGTAACCCCGTAAGACATTTTTGCAGACTTGGTGTTGTGCGACATGATCATGTTAATTTTCATCGGGTACGATCACACTCTGTGCGGATAATCGACGAATCAGTGCACTTCCCATTCATGGACAGCGGTTCTCCTATGAACATTATGAAAGGAAATGCAACGAATAATTAACCTCCCTTAAAGAAGTAGTCCATCACTTCAAGCTTCTAAGGTAAAAACAACATCAAGTGCATTTCTTTATACAGAGAGAATGTTCACCACCTTTCAACAACCACTGTCGAGTTCCTTGTTCTCTCAAAACCACCGTAGAACATCAAAAAAAAAGATCCAATCATCACTATTCACCATTTCATTTGAAAAGAAAATGCGTCTGCTTTGTGTGGATAAAGGTCTCAGTTTTGCTTTCAAACAACACTTGATGAAATTTAAAACATCATCAGTTCAAACTACACATCAACAACCCCAAGAGGTTGAACTTTCGAATGATCAACTCGAAAATAATACCAAACTTGGTAGTAATGGCAATAATAATGATTATAATTTGGAAAATACAAAGCTTGAAACCATGATTATTCAAGTTGCTGAACCCACAAGTTCCGATCTTGATTATGAACAAGAGGAAGTCTTTATGGAAAGTATTGGAAAAATTGAAAAGGCAATTTTGGAATTTGATCCTCATGTGTTGTTGTTTTCAAGTCGAGGAGGAAAATATGCTTGTAAATTATTGAAAGATCATGTGTGGGAGGGTCCTTGTGTGATGATTTCAACATTGATTGTTTCGTCCATGATTGATTTTGAAGAGACCAATGCAACGCTTGTTTTTGCGTATGGACAAGAGGAAAAAACTGTACCATTTCCAATGATTCAACACTTGAAACAATGTCACAACAATAGGGTTGTCGTGTTGAGCTATGCAAATGAAAGTCATTCCATGAATACTCTGGTGAATTTAGAAAAAGAAGAAGATTTTAATTTACAACATGGCATTGAGCAAGTAAAAACATTGACACAAGAGTATCGAGAGAAAGAGGATGACGTGGTATTCGAAGAGAAACAATTGTCCTTACTACAATTGGTGTATTTAAGTTGGTGCATTGCCAATCAATGTGAAAAGAAACGCATTGTCAAGAATGCTAAATTATTACAGAGCGCTTCAAGTACCTCCTCTCATCTGGATCTGCGACCTCAAGGAGCACCAAGTTTCATGTTGAATCCATCCATGTTGAAAGGAGGATTCAATCAACTTCGAAAGATTTAGAGATTTTCATTTTGATTTTGTTGTATTTATTCATTGATGAATTTGATCATTTTGTAAACAATTTACAATTTAGGAAAATGCAATCAAAAGCAAAAAGCCTTAAAAAATGAAGCGAAGATTAACCTTCGTCTTGCGATCACCAACAACAACAACAACTTCATCACAATGTCCCACTCATCATCAGACTTTCGGGTATTGCCCATCATCATCCACCAAGGTCGGAAATTCTTTATGGTTGACACCGTTCGTTAAAGAACACAATCAGTATAAGTACTTGATTGAAGAGTATGATGAAAACCTGGTGTTCGGAAGAAGGACTTTTTCGCAAACTCATCGATGGAATGAAAATATTCATAATAATCAAAATGAAAAATCCAAACCCTTGTTGGTGGCAGGTAAATCAGATAAATTAAATTCAACATTGTCATCTCCTTCATTGGAAAAATCATCATCCGAATCGAAAGAAGGAAAGGAAGGAAAGGAAGGAAAGAAAGAAGACAAGAAAAAGGCCACTTGGTCTTCTTACTTTAAAAAGGTACGAGTTTTTTCGTCGACGATGATCAGCATCTTCATAACAGTTCGAAAATACGAAATTTTTATGTATTCAAATGGTCATTCCATTCTTAATTACATCTCCTCCTGTGAAATTGGATTACCAAATTGAAACATGACGACAACATTGAGATGTTACAGTGGGTCACTTATGGAACTTTGACAGCCATTGCTATTTCTTTAATTAATCTTCAAGAATTGAGATCAGAAGAAACAAGTATTCAAAAAATTCGAGAAGGTTCAGTGAATTTAAAGCCCTCACTAGATCATGACCTAATTTCAAGAGAACGAGAAATTCAAGAATTGAAAAACTATCTTCCATTTCTTGAGCAAAATAGTCCAGAATTGGTTAATCCATCGTTTGTTCTCGTTTTTGGAAGAACTGGAACTGGAAAATCTTTATTTTCTGAATTATTAGCGAAAGAAATGGGACACAATTGTATTCATATTCAATTTCACAAAGATATGAAAGAAACTCAAATAGTGGAAGCCATCGCCAAAGCTATTAATTATCATCCATTTATGAACCGAAATGATTTACCGCTTTTTAATTATGTCACAACAAGCATGTTAGAAATTATAAGACCAACCAAACCAACTTTTTCTGAAATGACCAAAGTGCTCAAAGACATAACCAGAAAAATGTCAGAACAAAAAGAAGGAATGATTCCATATATTATCTTTGACAATGTTGATGCATTGTATCAGCCAGAGGGTTTTAATTTTCTTATTGACTTGTTGGAATTGGCTAAAGAAGGAGCTTCAAAGAGATGGTTTGGATCTGTTTTTTTTACCTCTGAAGTTGGTCTTAAAGTGCTGAGAACTTCGCCCAGTCATTATTCAATTACCAAGACCTATTATATACCTGGCATTGAGAAACATGCTGCTGTGTCATATATTGCCAAACACATGCAAAATGTTGTTGATGCAGAATCGATCGCTGCCATGCTTGTGGATAACGTATGTGGTGACAATCTTAAGTCTATTATGGATGTGATTGCCAAGTTGAAACAAAATAAGCCTTTAGAGCAAATTATTGATGAATCCATTCAAGAAACAAAGGTGAGTTTTACTGTGAGCAAAGTTGAATAACAACTCTAATGTTCATGCGAAATAGTACAACTTTAGAGGTTTTGAATTAGGTCAAATTGACAAGAATACTGAGGCTTTTGCTGTTTGGAATTTACTCGACTATATGCACAAGAATAATGGCGAATGCACCACAAGTGAGGCCTGTATATGCATTGGAAGTTTTTGTTCGAAGCCTCTCGATCTCATCGATGATTTAATCACACGAGGCATCATTAGCAGTAATCCAAATGGTTCAATCACATTTTTCAATCGTTCTGTCTTTACCTTAATTTCAAAAGCAAAAGAAAAGCGACCAAACGTGTTCAGCAAGTTTAGTTCCTATCAACCAACGGAACGAGTGGTAGATTTTTAATCGTTGGAGTACTTCCAGTACTGTTAAACTCTCGATAGCATTATTGTCATTCAGAGAGTGATATGTTGAGTATATTTGGAAAGGAATTGAACAAGTTGAGTCTTTTCTGTATTGTATCTTCTCTCATCCCACGATAATTTATCCTTCATGATATTAAGCAATTTATCACACTCTAGCATGACTCTAAGAGGATCGTATCTGTACATTTGGCATCTAATAGCCACATCTAATGCAGTACAACAATTTTCTACTCGAACTAAATATCCAATTTCACATTCCAAGTATGGTAAATCCTCCCAGATCTGATTTTGTAAATAAAATGTTGTTTTGGTTCCGTCTGAACTTTCAATCTCTCGAGAACCTTCTCTTAGCACATTCAAACATCGATCTCCGTAACTAAATTTCAAATATCGAATAATATCGTCATGCAAATGATGATATTTTGCTTTCATGGTTTGTGTCAGAAAGTGAACAAAATTTTCTGATCCGTAAATTGGTTGGAGAAGCTGAACTTGACTATCTGATTCTATTTGTGAAGTTGGAGATCCTGTCTTGTTGGATTTTGAATCAAAATTCTTTCCAAAAAGATATCTTAAAACTGCGATGGATGAATAATAGTCTTTAGTTCGATCCAACACCTTGAGAGCATTCTTGAAAACTGTTCCATTTTCTGTGGCCAATTGGATCAACTTTAGCTCATTGTCAAAAAAAGAATCGAGATGAGCTGTAAATATCACCGGTTGTTAAATTTCCAAGTCTCAAAACTCCTTTCAATTTATCAATGTGCTCTCCTGGCAACGCTAGAATAGAGTATCTAAAATGGGGTATGAACTTTCCATATGGTGTGACAATATTATGAGGAGATATTGTAGGCAAAGTAAATGAATACTCTTCTTGAAGGTTTTTCTTGGAAAGAAGTTTGTCATCTTGTGGAGTGCTTTCACATAGAATTAAATGCTTGTATCGAAGCCGATATTCAGTATTGTCATTTTCTATTTTGTCTCTAAAGACGAGTTGAGAATTTTCCAAATCTATTTTCTCAACATGCGTGTGATTCAACGCAAAATTTCCCATCGCTGTTGTGGTGAGAGCCAGTGATGATATGAGACGAGGAAAATTCAGAATTCCACTGTCATAGTACGTAATGCATCTAAACACATTTCTTACATCCTTATACTCCCTAAATAGGTCATCCATGTCTTTGGCTCGTTCTTGAAATCGGTTTCTTAGTATTCCCAGCTTTCCTTCACACATATTTCTATCACCCAAAAATAATTCTTCCATCCATAAATCTCTTCCATAAATGAAATATTCATAGCCCAGAAGTTTCCACATTTGTCTGTAATAATTCAATTTTTGTGAGTTGGTAAATATTTCTGTCGTTCGAAATTGTCTCATTAAATGAGGTGCAATAACATATAAATCATTTCGTTTCTCTAATTTTTCTCTCATGGACGAATAGATATTTTCATAAAATTTGCAAGTCACTGTTGAATTTTCATCGCCATTATTAACACCAGATTTGCATAGCATGACTTTGGTTTGAAAAAAGTTCGGCGTCAAACCACCATTCGAATCTCCATCCAACACATGATGAAAAAGCATGTTGGAATTCAATGTAAATTCATCCTTATACGAAACAAAATCATGTGGAGAAAGCAGACACACCGAATATCCTCTCAATGAAGCTTCATAACTCATGGCAGCTCCAATTAATCCATCACCGACAATACATAAATCAAATTGAGCTTCATGGTTAAATTCATCTTCGTCCATCAATTTCTTCAAACTTTCAAACTGTACAGCTCGGCTAGGAATTTTCAGCATCTCTTCTCGATACGGAAATGTCGTGTAATCAGCACTGGGTAAATCATCCAATGAAAAGGCTTGTACCTCTTGCCAAGCCCGAAAATTCGCTTGAAATAAATTATTAGCAAGAGTACCCAATCCAGCAACGAGCACGAGTAAGCCACTTCCAACTCCGAGAGTTTTCAAATGTTTTTTGAAACGATTTCTGGTGGGATGATCGAAACACGAAAATTTTCTCATTTTTTTATTAAATGATTTCAATAACGTGTTTCATGATGAATATTATTACTATTTAATTCGATCAATCATTAATGTTGATGTATTGAGACTGCGAAGGTTAAGAGCTCTCTCTGATTCAATCTGCTCTTGGTTTCCAAGACTTTTTTCATCTTTGATTGTACAATCAAGGTCAACACTCACAGCTTCTTCAAACTTGATTCAGTCGCAAATATATTCACCTATTCATTCAAAGTGAATTACACAATTTCTCATTCACATTGCTGTTCTATTTGTTTACAAATCAATGACATCTCTTCTCTTAAACTTTTTCGAAGCACGATCATAACTTCTAAAACAAAATTGAGTTCCAATAATCTCAATTTGATAATTCTTAGTTTCTGGAGGTGCTGTAGATTCTTTCCCTCGAACACCAGACGGTGGCCTCACTTGTTTCTCAAAATTGAATTGAAATACAGACCCGTTCTTTGGAATGATAAAGAACTTGTCATCCCGAGTCAATAATTGAAAAGTATTTTCAGTTTCCTTGATGACCATTCCTTCCTTTCCAATGTACGAGCCACAACGACTCTTCACCACTCGGAAGATGCATCCATGATAATCAGCTTTCAATAATAATTCATTATTGAAGAGAGAGGAAGTTCCGAGCATGCTGAGCATGTATTCTTTCCACATGTCATGAAGTGGTAAATAATTATTGAATTTTCGTTGTTGTTGTTGCTTCTTGTTGGATGATGAATTTTTCTTGTGTTTCTCTTTGGTTTCGTCGAGTATCATCATCATGGATGATTGTTGTTCCGAAGTAGTAATCCTGATGGGATGAGAGTTGTTCGAGTCGTCTTCCATCATGATGATGGTACTTTCCATCTTTCTCTTCTTTTTGTCTTTTTGTTTAGGTGTGGATGTCTTGTTGTGTGAAACACTTCTTTCGTCGAGTGATGCTTGTAAAGAATTTTTTCTTTTGTTTTTGTTTTTGCTGGAGAGTCGATCTTTGATTTTGAGGAAGGGTGTTTGTTGGTGTAGTGTCTGAGAAGTGGTGTTGGATGCCTTAGAGTGTTGAGATGAATTGGATCTTGTTGTTGTCTTGTCAACATTTTGTGGAATACTTGTTGGCTTGGCAATGACTTGATTCGAGAGAGCAAGAGATTTCACAGCACTATATAGTTGTGCTTTGTGTTTCACAAAAGATGTTGCTGGATGTGACTTGTGTCTAGAGGCTGTGCCGTGAATTGAAAATATGCATGTGTAGTTGCCGTAATCGTCGTAGAAATGTTGAAAGAGTCTAGGATGTTGAAATAGTTCATAAACTGAGACAGCCCGATAAATGGCAAAGGACGAATGAGTGACAATACGTTTCAAATCTTCATTGATATCATCTTGAGGTACGTCAGCTTTCATTTTGAGAATTGCAATGTCTTTTCCAGTTTTTCCAGAAACAAAACTGAGATGAAAACGTTTTGCCGATGTGAGATCTTCTGCACCTCTATCATTGTAAATTTCTGGCAATTGAAAGTTATTGACAATGTCATTAACATTTCCAAACATGGTTCTATTATTTTGATCAACCTTGTTATTTTTGAGATTGCCTTTCTTCTTTTCCGTTTCACAAAGAATGTAGTGAATGAGTTCAATGGACAAATTTGGAAAATTGTGTACATCAAATCCAGCTCCTGAAAAATTGCAAATTGATTTCGTATAGTCTGTAATAATCTCTCTAACAAAATATTGCCGCTTCCAAATAGAATATAAAGCTTCCACTGTTTGTCTTCTCTCCTCGGAGCCTTCTTGTTCAATTTCCTCCATTGATTTCCCAAATAAATCTTCATCAATTTTAATATTCAACGATCGGTATTGAATTACTCCATATCTCTTATTGTAATTTGCTTGAAAATGTTTCACTAATTCACTTCTCTTCTTTTTATCAACATCTCCAGGCTTGGCGATGGTTGTTTGTTTCGAACTAAAACTTGATGAAGTTCCTCTCCGCTTTTTTACTTCTTTTAATTGTTGAGTAAATTTTTCTCGGTTCGTTTTAGGTATCTGGGATGGTTTCGGAGTGGTTGATGATGATGATGAGGAGGAGGTGAGTGTTGATGAAGAAGAGGATCCTGAGTTTCGATGTCTTTTCATTTTTTTCAAAATGAGAAAATTTATTTATTTGCAATTCTTTATTTCAATATTTCAACTTTAATTCCACTTATTGTGTCCCAGATAAACATCATGATAACAATGTTGCATTCTCGCTCGATAAAATTCATCACTATACTTCAACACGTAACCATTGCATTTAAGAGCTTCCATCACAAATTCAGAATCGTTTTGAAATCCTTCATTCAGAAACATCAATGCATGTCCATTCTGTTGAATAGCAAGTAATGCAATTTCTCTGTCATTCTTCAAGTCATCAGAAGCAAATTGCAGTGGTATAAATCGAAAACCTGGTGAGTGGCAATAATATCTAACTGCAGTCATAACAATTTCTCGATCATTTTTGAGTTCAGAACTTGCAAATTCAAGTATCTTCCCATTTTCTTGAACAAGTTTCATCATGATGTCTTTGTTTGAATAATCAAAAGATTCTAAATGTGAAAATTCTGGAAATATTGTTTTGAGAATTGTCAACATGAATTCACAGTCTAAAAGTAATACTTTAGGTAAGAATTCAAGTGCTTTCTTATTTTGTTTGATTGCTTCCATCACAATTTCCTTGTCTGATTTAAATTGACGCTCAACATACTGCAGTGCTTTGCCATTTTTCTTGACAGCAGCCAAAACAACATCTCTATCTTTGTTGAAATCAAAAGGAACACCAATTCCATACTGTTGAACCATCTCTAAAACAAATTTCTTGTCATTTCTAAGTTGTTCTGATGACACAAATGTCCATGCCCCTTTAAATTGCTTTACAGCTGCGAGTATCACTTCTTTATCGGTGTGAATGTTGTCACCGGCAAATTTCAACTCATCTCCATTTTGTTGAATCACTTTCAACACAAATTCTCGATCTTTTTTTAATTGTTTTGATGCATATTCCAATCCATAACCATACTTTTTGATGTGATTCAAAATAAATTCCTTATCATTCATAAATTCAACAGGAAAGAAATGTTCATATTTCAATTCTCTATTTTCAAGCCATTTCTTTTTTCCGAGTTGTTGTAATGAGAATTTCTTTTTCAATAATAATTCCAATCTCTGAAGATCATTCTCAGAAGAGGAATTTGAAAAATCAATCATCAAAAGTTTTACATTATTTCTCATCGGGATCTGTGGTTTGAAAAAATTTCAAATGGGACAATCCGGTTTTCTCAAAGAGAATCCGGCATAACCAGCTAGGGCGTAAAAATCTATTGATTAAATACACCTTTTTACCAGTATCAATTGATATAAAACTAGCACTCTAACGTAAGTACCTCTTGCGAGGTCCAGACTGTGTTCACCAATTTGATGAATCTCGAGGCTAACGAATCTCATTACATATCGCTTTTTGCCGCGGGCTTCATCGATACACGAGCCGTGTGCTCCATTGCACAGAGTTATTTTTTGTAAATGGAAAAAAGGTTTTCACCTTTTTTACCATACACCTTTTTTACCATAAAAAAAGGTTTTCACCTTTTTTACCATAAATGATCCCTACGCAGGTTCACCTACGAAGACCTTGTTACGACTTTTCCTTCCTACAGACGAATAGATTTAACTGGTTTCCCTCACCTTACGGTTTGGTCCGCCAGGTTCATCTCTTCGTCCCATCGGTAGGAGCGACGGGCGGTGTGTACAAAAGGCAGGGACGTAATCAATGTGGTATGATGAACCACGCTTACTAGGAATTCCTCGTTCACGAGGATGTTCCAATCCTCGATCCCTGTCATAACGGTGTTTGAAAAGTTTACCCAATCCTATTAGGATAAGGGGTTAAAAAACCATAGCGCTCGCTGGTACCGTTATTGTAGTACGCGTGCAGCCCAGGACATCTAAGAGCATCACAGACCTGTTATGGCCTAAATCTTCCTCATTCTACAAGAACGAATGAAGTCCCTTTAAGAAGCTGACAAAAGTCACGTAGGTTTTGGAACAGGCTAAAAGCCAGTCCCGACAAACTAACCCCTCCCCGAAGGAAGAGGCCTACGGCTAGT